CACATATATACGCATATATATATATTCGCATACATTTACTTCAGTTGACCACAAGTGGAGATATGGGATGGGGCCTCCAAACAACATATGCTTTAGCTTTGGAATAGACTTGTGAAGATGTCTGATCAGAAACTCATTAAAAAGATATTTAATAGGGACATCCCCCTAGTCATCCCTGGGCTAATGAGCTGAAATCCGTATTTCATTTGAACAGTGTGTCATTTGTTTTCCATAACAGGTTACTCTGTAATATTCAGGAGATGAGGAATAAGATGTTTCTCAAGCTTAGAGAAAAATGGTCTGTTGATGTATAGTATAAACCAAAATTACAAACGTACTGTCTCATAAAAAATAGCTACTGTGTTGAACCTTAGGGGAATATAATTTAAACAAAAGACAAAGATCCCTATGTGCACAGTTGGGCTCAGGAACATTTGCCTTAAAGACTAGACAGTATAACACCACCCTAGAAGGGGACATACTTTGTTTGTTTGTAACAAGAATGAGGTTCATTTCATATTTTACTGTCCTGTATATGAAGACATCATGGATGCACTTTTCAGTAAAATGACCTCTATTTATGTGGTTTCTTTTTTTTGGGATGGCCATGAAAAGTTTGAGTTATGTTTTAGAAGGGGAACCATTTTTGTAGCAGAATTTCTTTTCTGGGCCTGGGATAGAGAGCAAGGTGTTTGTTTGGAGACTTAGCAGCAAAATAACGCGTACTTCCGACTGATCACTGCAATATTATTGTAATGGTGTCTTGTAAACCCATGAAGGTTGGGCACATCACATCAAATCTACTCAATCAATCAATCTATGCAAGCAATCTATCTATCTATCTATCTATCTATCTATCTATAAGTATGTAAGATATGTATGTATACATATATATATATATATATATATATATATATCCTTTAGACTCCTATAGACTTACTGTATTCCACTATAATATCACAGTTAAACTCCATATATTATTGTGATTTAGCAGTGTACTTTTCTAAAATTATGATATTTACCTGCATGAATTTCACAATAAAATCTGAATAGGATCAAATATCACAGTTGTCGACTTTAATGTGACAATAATGTAATTTATTGAGAAATATCACAGTAACATATTGTAACTTTCTGGAACTAATTTGCAGCGTACATATAATGTAACTGTAGTGAATTCCCCAGCTTAACATTTCTGACAATATTTGTTCCAAGACACTGTCAAACCATTGAGACACCAATTTATAAAGTACTAGCAGCAAATCATGAGAAAAAAAATGTTGCACGTTAATCCCATTATCAATTTAATGTATGTAATGGTAATTAAAACAAAATCAAAGTTTATATCCATTAAGCTGAATATGAAAATCTCAACAGTTTTTTCCCATGCTGTTCACTTTTTACCTCCAGTACTGAAATGGAACATTCTAGAAAGAACATAAGACCATATAACATAAACATGCATTCTAACACTTTTTGTCGTATAACATGGGCGATTTTATTATCACGTTATTACGTTATTAATCACTTATATTATTTAATCCTTTCTTTTTCAGTTTTTTGTGGGGTGTTAAAATTGTTCTTCTTTTGTAGGCTGGATGGGAGATAAATAACAAAATTAAACAATAAAATGAAAAGTATAAACGAGTCTTCAGCGCAAAACACTATAGATTATATTAGCGGAAGTACATGTAGGTGTGATATCATCCCAATCTATCTCACGTAGGGTTTAATTGGAGGCGTCTCTTTCTCCTGCCTGGTCCCCAGGGAGCAGGGGTGTGGAGCGGGGCAGGGAGTAGCACCTGCCCCCTCTGTGCTTCACTTCCAGGCAGCCGAGGAGCCCACAACAAAAGAAGATGCAGACTGACGCCGCTCCATCTAACAGCGGGGATGATCTGTCAAGCTGGTTGGTTGGAGCAAGAAAAGTACCGGAAGTTCTACGATTTTCCCTTCAAAATAAAAGGATTTACTTTGACGCTCGGTGCGAGATTACTGTTTCTATCACACAGCAGATATGTACAAAGTGTAGTGTGTTTATCCCATTCAGGTTAGCAGAGCGCTAAATCAGGAGTCAGGTGCTTGACCGGAGGTGCGCTCGGCCATGCTTGCCGACTCTAAGTGTCTAGTGTGCCTGCTCTTTGAGCACAATGATGTGTAAGCAGCGCCTATCATCTGGGTAATTTCATACCTCAAAATTATAGCTTTTTTGGCTTCATGCGCCACTGAGCAACTTTCATAGGAATGAATGAGGCCCTGCAGCCAATGCTATATTTAATATATTTTCAACAAGCATGGCTGACCACGAGGCAAGGAGGAAGAACAAGGCATGTTTCAGTCTAGAAATCATATTGTTAAAGTACATAATTTGTCTTTAAGTTGTGTTTAAAGTAAACATGAAATATTATATCACTCACGTCAAAAAATCTTATGAAAGATTTATAGCTTTTACTCAGGATTTTGTTAAAATTATCCATCCATTGGCATGGATGGGGGATCTGAGCATCACCAGAAAATTAATAGGGGCTTATAATACATCCTATTGACTATGTAAACATAATATTCACCTCAGGAGGTTTTTGAACATGCGTACCTAACAAACTGAAGATATTCTGTGCAGTGACAGTAACAGAAAAAAAGAGTGGCATTAAGAATGTTTTGTCACACTGATTGGATTTTACATATCCGTTGCATACAAGCCTTTTATATTGGAGGCTTCTGTTTTACATGTGTACAGACAGTGTCCCAGTAGTCTTTCAGGCTCTTATCAAAGTCTTTTATCAGGCATGCTGCCTATTTCACATTTATCAAGTCCAGGCTTAAGAGTCCAGTGAAGCAGGCTGTTTTACGCTTCTTCCAGTTTAGAAGAATTAGTCTCTTAGTAGATAAGCTACCCAACGTCCATAAGCCGTCAACTGTGACTCCAACATTATTGTCCAATTTCAACCCCAGCGAGCATGCTTTGGGGCACACTGGGAAGTTAACACTAAAAAACTCTGACATAAGAGATAGGCCTGTTGCTTCTAACCAGTGTTTTAACAGCTTGACAGTCCATGAGGAAGTGGAATAAAGAGCCTCCAATGCCACAATTTTGCCAGCATAAATGCTCTGCACAGAATCCTACAGATATTGTATAATACTAAATCTCACACATTTAGAAGATCTCAAAGCTGGCTTCCAAATTATGTTCCACTGGATAGCAGTCGGAGATTTATTTAGTTCAAGCTATTCTGAGAAGTGATGGCAAATAGACTACAATACAAAATGATCACCATCAACCATTGTTTATTCAGGGAAAAATGAATATATATCAAATAATATGCAACACAAAATATAGATGCAATTTGTTTTAGAGTGTCACTTTATTTACTGATATGAGTTCATATTCATGAAAAATAAATAAACGCATGTCTCTCTGTAAAAAGAAAAAAAAAACTTCAGAGAAGTTGTCCATTTTACTATTAGGCGGTTTGCGCATTCAGATTCTTTGTCCATTGGAATGGAATGAAAAAAATAGCACATAATTAAGTATCCTATTTTTATTATTTTTTTTTTTGATAATTATTTACGAGTGCATTTAGAGTAGAAATCCACTATTACAATATATTTTTTTACTTTATTTTTTGAAACCTATTTGTGCTCTGAACGGGTTAAATTATCATGGACACGTTTAATTATGTCATTTGAAGACCGGAAGTACTTTTGCTATTTTCGCGGGCTTGACACTCGTGAAAGGAGACCAGAAGGTGATCGAAAGAAAGCAGGGATGCGGAGGAGAGGAAGACATTAAAGAGAGAGAGAGAGAGAGAGAGAGAGAGAGAGAGAGAGAGAGAGAGAGAGGCTGGCCCGTCCTTTAATGCGGCTCTACTAATATTTCACAGCGGAGAGGAGGAGCAGACAGGACGGTGAATCCAGAGAAGGAAGAGACAGAGACAGAGGAGAACATTAACAAAGCTGTGTGAGACGCACCCGGGTCGCTTCTATCATCTGAATCACGGAGGTGGTCTCACCGACGTTGCGAGCAGCATCACCCCGCCTCCTGCGCATCATTCGCGGCTCCGCACCGCAGCTGCCCGGGGAGAAGACTATCCGCATCTTTGCAAGGTAAACAAACCCACACCTCTCACCAAACACCTCTATCGTTTCCCTCGTATTACTAATATTATTTCCCCTATCTTTATGCACAACAAGCGCTAAAAAAAACCCATACCGGCAGATGCGGGTTTTCGGGATGCTGTTTAAAGCTGGTCTGCTGTTTCACCGATAGCCCCTACAGTGTGGAAGGGTATCCCGCTTCTTAGTATTTTTGACGCAATAGCACAAGTGTAGCTTGAACAGACACAGAGTAGCAACAGTTAACGTTATAAAACGTATTTCCCTCCATGTAAGGTGGTGAACGTTACGCCAAACTTCACATTTAATCTGGGAAATTCATGTATTCATGTATGTATTGTATCTCATAACATGACTTAGGACCTTTGGTGTATGTCAACCTCTCTTCGTCGACTTGTACATTTAATTTGGTTAACGTTAAACTTCAACACCTTTATGTGTGTATGTGTGGAGAGAATGAACATGTATTTTACAGCTGAATATGTCGCACACACTAACTGGACTGTTTCCACGTAGGGTTAAACCATGCTGTAGCCTATTCTATGGTCACTGATAGTCAAAGCTGATCCCATGTTCTTACCTGTTTGGTTTGACATCCATACAAGCGACACGTTCATGTTTTTAAGATCTGTGTGCATGCTGGGGGCATTTCAGGATACTGTGTTGTAGTTTGGCAAGGGAGGGTTTGCAGGCTGACTCAGTTGGTGGCTTAGGTTTATTATTACGGCTTGTGCTGCGGCTTGTGCTGAAACTGAAGCAGTCTGAGCAGTGCTTTCCAAAAAGGGCCCCACGCAGGGGTCTTTGAGTGTGTCTCCAGAGGTCCTGTGCGGGAGGACCACAGCAAAATTACTAATAAGTTGTTTCAGTTGAGAGATAAGAATTAGAGGATGGGGGATTAGGGTGATAATTCAGCATTATCTATGCCTGAAAAAGATAAACATTTCATGAATGCTACATGTTACAGCACCTGAACATGTGCTTCTTACACACAAGCTATTTTTTCCAGCGTGATTTTGAATACTTAACATACCCTATCTGTACCGAGACCGTAATAATTATGACTATAATTATTCTGTACTGCCCACCTCATTAGTGACTAGGGTAATCACAAGGCTCATGTTCTCAGTGACTGTTATTCACTGACTGTTAAAAACTCAGTGCTATCATCATAAACTCCACTCATATGAACTCTTAAGACTAATTGGGGCCTTAAATAAGTCTTATAAATAATGTCTGGAGTTCTGACAGATGAAAAGGTTTAGGTTAAATGAACAAGTCATCTTATTTTATTCAGTAATCACATCATGTCTTGGTACTGATGCTGTGGTAATGAAGGTAGCGCACTCATCTAGGGTAACACCTTTTTCTCTCTCTACATATAGTGCACTGTACTATGCACTTTTAAAGGGATAGTTCAGTTTTTTATGTGGGTTTGTATGGGGCACATAGTCAGTATATCACATACAGTAGGTGTCAGTCAGCACACCCCCAGTTTGGAGAAACAGGCTGGAGTCTGACATGGAAGCTTAGCAATCTACTGCTGTGGAGGGGTCAGCAACAAAATGTATTTTAGTCACCTAAAAATGTACCACATAAAAATATCAATAACAGATTAAGCATCTGCTATATTTAGAATATTTTCACTGCTTTTCAAACAGGAAAATGAAGACATTTTATCGTGCTCTTCAAAGCCAGACTCCACTGAGAAAAGAGATTTAACATTGCTGTACACAGGAGCTGCTGCTGGTCTACCCCTGCTTTGAACAATTATTTTGTGTTATTGTGTGACATTGGTGTTTAAAAGGGTTTGTTCAGATTCAGCAAAGTCACACAATTATCCAAACTATCTAACTGAGTGAAGCAGCAGTAGACCAGCAGCTCCTGTGTCCAGCAAGCTAAAATGAAAAAATGTTTTTCTCAGTGGAGTCTGGTGGCTTTGATCAGAGCATTAATGGGGAACTGAAGCCTTTTATGGCTTTCCCGTTTGAACTGCATGTCTGATGAAAAGGCAAAGTGGTGAAAATACTCCCAATGTAGCATACATTTAACATGATATTGATACTACTTTTTTTAGGTAGCTAAAACACCTAACTGACCCCCTCCGCAGCAGTATATTGATGAACTTTGCTTTCATACTCCAGCCTGTTACTCCAAACTGGGGGTGTGCCGACTGACATCTACTGTATGTAATACACTGACTATGGATAAGTAAGATAGTAATATAAGATAGCCCCACTTCAAAAAAAATCCCAACTATCTCGTAGACTTTTAATATAATTATTGCATTGTACTTATTTTTAAAATACTGCTCTATTGGGTCTTACACTTCGGTTCACTATTTTAATAGATTTGTGTTTCTATTCTGGCATTTGTAATTTGATCACTGGCAGGAAGATGCACTGTATTCACTTTAAAACAGACCATATTGTCACTATTATCTAGTATCAGTGGTGTCTTAAATGTTGAAGACTGCCATAGGCTGTTGTGGAGAAACTGATTGGGCTCAAAGGAAAACAACTGAGAGTTGTTTTTATGCATTTTTTAAATAGTTTTCATTTTTTTTATTACACACTGTATAACCTCATAAAAACCATTTCCTCAGGAGTCAGTCATATTCACATTTCCTTATTGCACCCACTCTATCCACAGTACATGGAGCTAATATGAATTGAATGATTCATAGTTTAGATTTCAGTAAATAGACGAGTGAGACATCACATACTAATTTTGCCGTGGCTGACTTGTCAGAGACATGTCAGATCCTAGGAAGAAAAAAGTCAGTGCTTGTGAAACACTGTGCTCCTCGCTATGAAAAGCTGAGCAAAGATGCAAAGCTGGAGGAGATGTGATGTTATACAGTGTTGGTCACACTATAGAATGATTTATGGCTTGTGTGTAGTGAATAACACATGTAATTCTTAAATCTTACAATTAGATTATTTTCCCATACCATTCATTCATTCATCTTCTAACCGCTTCATCCTCTTGAGGGTCGCCGGGGGGGCTGGAGCCTATCCCAGCTGACATTGGGCGAGAGGCAGGGTACACCCTGGACAGGTCGTCAGACTATCGCAGGGCTGACACATAGAGACAAACAACCATTCACACCTACGGACAATTTAGAGTTATCAATTAACCTAGTCCCCAATCTGCATGTCTTTGGACTGTGGGAGGAAGCCGGAGTGCCCGGAGAGAACCCACGCTGACACGGGGCGAACATGCAAACTCCACACAGAAGGGCTCCCACACCCGGGATTGAACCGGCAACCATCTTGCTGTGAGGCGACAGTGCTAACCACCACACCACCGTGCCGCCCTCCATACCATTCAGCCCTAAATAAAAGAGAGAAAATACATCTTCTAAAAACTCCAGAGCTGTCTTGTTTGCCTGTTTAATGTTATGTTCATGCCATTAAAATCACATATTGAGATGAGAAGTGTGTAAATACAGTATTATATCTGCTCTTGTTTTGCCACTGAAATAAGAGTATTCCTTGTTCTGTTATGGCCCCGATGAGTTTGTCTGCACACAAAGACCTTTATTGCCTTAGATAGTCGAACAACATGTAATCTGATTTCAGACTGGCACTCATATAGTTATTTCTTCATGTGTAATTAACTAGTATAAAGACCAGAGGGGGTGAATAACAGCACAGTGCAGAGAGGTTCATCACACTCAGCTTAAGTTACAGGGACTGGCATCAGATGTTAACGATTTAGGCAGTGCGCAGAAGGTGAAAGCAGTTGTGGTTGCCAATTTTTTTGGAGGCCCATTGTCTTGAGATCATGATTAGGTGAACAGAGTTATTTCATTGCACTAAATGGTGGCCATAATGTAAATATGTGTAGACCTAAATTCTTCCCCTAATTTTTGCCTTGTTCTCTTCTTTTTCTATCAAGGCTGAGAAATGACTTTAATCCATTTGTGAAGATTATGATTTACATAAGTTTTCACATAATGCTGACAGTTATCTATTCAATTAGCTAATTATGTTGATGATGTTTTTTTACCCACTGCAACCCTATGTCCTCATATGAGGACATGACATTTTGGGTTTGTGCACCTTTTACTTCATTCTGCTTAACTTAGACCTGCTGTCCTTGTTTGTGGATACTTTTATGTCCCATCTAGTGGTAGCAAGACCACAATACACTAATGCATGTAAAAACATGATGGCAGCCATCTCTGCCAGGTCACTTTACAGCTGATCCTGACACAAAAGTGGATGAGGTCCAAAACCTGATCATATTTTATTGTTGAAACTTGTTTATTTATGATTAATAAAGTTTATAGTTTGATATAACATGTGACCAATTTTCAGCAATAGTAACAAGCTAAGACCCTGTTAATTTAAAGTACTCGTGTGAGGACATTGGGACTTCATTATTGTATTATTGCAGCAGTTCACACAGGCTAATTGGTGACGGACTGTTCCTATAGACAGAAACGACATCCCTAGCTTGGAGTATGGAGCATGGAAAATTCATACAGTTACAAAATGAAGAAATCATAAGGCTTTTAGATATGCTATATTTACAGTTTTGTTGTGCACAACCATGTTCAGTCATTGAAATAAATTGATTTGAACAGTTTTAGATTTGAACAGTGACCTCTAACCCTAAGGGCTCTAGTTTTGCAGACCAGGCGAGGCGGGGGCGCAGCGCACCTGCTTTTCGCCAACTGGGTGTAGCCAGGTGGATTTTGCAAGTTTGGCACACCGAGCGCGCTGGCGCAGCTACTCGTCTGTCCCACCTCTGTCCCTTCTACCTGCGCAAGTCGGAAAGAGGGAGGAGAGAAGGCGTGGAGTGGGTTTTACACACATCACACCAATCAAATGAGCCCCTCTCCTCACCCTTAAATGTGCCGCGCGAAGGTGTAATGAGAGTTTACTCAATTCGCCATGGCAGAAGAGAGCAGCAGCGTCAGACGGCCAAACTTCTCCCAGGACGAAACTGATGTTTTGGTCCGGGAGGTCAGCTCGCAGTGTCCG